TGTCAGCATGAGATTGGGATGAGGTGCAGGAAAAGGAGCTGTGTCACACCATGCCTCAGCATCCCTAACCCTGTTCAGTTAAATGTCAGTGATTTTTACCTGGCAGCTAAGGAATTTGTGGGCATTTAAGTGTTTATTTTAAAGACCTCCAGCAGACAAATAACCTTCCCGTCTCACAGGTGTGTTTTGGAGAAAGGTTGAGAAGGTGAGTTTGAACACATGACAGACATAGGGCACTTTTATTCATTTTGGAGTCCTTTATGCTCTGACAAGGTGTTTTCCACAGCTAAGGACCCTACTGAACAGTGTCCTCCTCCTGTGAGTGCAGCAGTGTTGCCTCCTGTTGTGTTTTTTGGTGTCTAGCCAGACCCCTGTGAGCAGAGATTGCTCTCTTTCTTCCTCAGCCCCACAGAGGGACGTGGCCTGGGCTCACCAGCAGTTTGAGGAGTGGGGACATCATGGCCACGATGGGCTGTGCCAGGCGACTGATCCCTGTCAAGCACACTGGGGGAGTGCTGGGCGTGATGGTATAATTCGCCATCAGGTTTTCTGGGCCTGCATTCAGGGTGCCAGTGGGGTGGTTGCCCTGGATGTCAGTGAGGTTACAGCTGTGGGAAGGTGAGCAGGTCTCCATATATGTCACCCACACGGAGGGGCTGTAGCGAAAGCTGAACTCTGGCTGTGCCAGGACAACTGGGAGGTGACAAAGGCTGGTGTCTGAGTGACAGTCTCACTGCAGGTGGTCATGTCAACCTCATGGGAGTGTGATGCTTCAGGGGTCAGGGTGGTCTCAGCGTGTCAGTCATGTTGGGGGTTGGAGCAGGGGTTGGTCCGTGGCTGTGTCAGTCACACAGATGTGTGTGACAGTGGGTCAGCCTCAGAGTCTCAGTCACACTGGGAGAGTGATGAGGCTGGTCCCTGACTGTGTCAGTCACACTGGGGGGGGGTGGGGGGGTGTGACAGGGGCGGCCTCTGACTGTGTCAGTCACATTGGGAGAGCGATGAGGCTGGTCGCTGACTGTGTCAGTCACACTGGGGGTGTGGTGGGGCGGTCCCTGCTTGTGTCAGTCACACTGGGGGTGTGGTTGGGCGGTCCCTGCTTGTGTCAGTCACACTGGGGGTGTGGGGGGGCGGTCCCTGCTTGTGTCAGTCACACAGGGGGTGTGGTTGGGCGGTCCCCGCGGATGCCTGTCACATTGGGGGTGTGACAGAGGCGGTCCCTTGCCGGTGTCAGTCACGTTTGGGGTGTGACAGGGGCAGTCCCCAGCTGTGTCAGTCACACGAGGGGGTGTGCTGGGGCCATCCCTGATGATGTTAGTCACATTGGGGGTGTGACAGGGGCGGTCCCTGCCGGTGTCAGTCACACTGGGGGCAGTGACAGGGGCTGGTCCGTGACTCTGTCATTCCCACTGGGTGGGAGGGGAGAGAGGGGGGGCGGTTAAGGAGGACGGCCTGTGGCTGCGTCAGTCAAGTTGGAGGTGTGACAGGGGAGGTCCCTGGCGGTGTCAGTCACATTGGAGGTGTGACAGGAGTATGTCACTCCCACAAAGGGCTGTGAGAGGACCCGGCCTCCAGCTGTGAACGCCCCGCCGGGGGTGTGACGGGGTCCGGTCTCCGAGTGTCAGCCCCATGGGGGCGTGACAGGGGCTGACGTCTGGCTGCGTCAGCCGCTGGAGGCGTGACGGAGGACGGTGTCCCGGGGTGTCGGTCACCGGTGGGTCTGAGGGGGGGGGGGGGCGGCCGTGGCCACCGATTGGTGGCGGGAGGTGTCCGTCAGGAAGGGGCGGGGCCACAGCCGCGTTACCGGCGGAGGCGGAGGGTCCCGGCACAAGATGGCGGCAGGCGGGCTGGGCCGCGGGGACTGTGAGCTTCCCGCCCGCCCTTCTGCCCTGGGGGGGGACGAGGGCTGGGGAACCCCCCTCGCGGGGATTTGGGGTGGCTCGAGCGGAGCGCCGCGTTTCAGTCAGAGATGCTCGTTCAGTTTACTTTTTGATCCGAAAAGAGCTTGCAGAGAGTGTGTGTTTTCCCGGGGCACCGCTAAAAACGTGACACGCTTAATCAGATACTCCAGTAAAAGTCATTTGTGCTGAATGACTGTTTGAATAGATTGTCAAATTCCTGAGGCAATTTAGTAATCCAGCAGTTACAATAAAAACCAATGAGTATAGATCGAGGGTATTGAGAGAATTGTTCAGCAGGTAGAGATTTCTCCTTTAACTCTTCAACAAGCTCATGTGGGCTTTCAAAACTAAGCATGTATATAAGTTACATGTGCAGGAAATATCTCTAATAATCTCTAAAACCACAGCCAGTCATTGCAGGAAGCCATAGAGGGTGGCTTTTCTTTCATATGCGCCTTCTGTCCTGCACCAGAAGGCTCAGGTTATTGCTCTGCAGACTCCTTTATAGTCTTGCAGGTCCAGCACAGCATTGAGCTGTCAGAGTTTGGCTGGGAAAGCATATGAGTTTTGCATAGAGATTTGTTGGCAATCTGGATTGATACGTGCGAAAGAAAAGGCAAGTTTGAGAAACAAGAGCATGCCAGAAAGTTTCTACTTGACAAATACTCTTTTTGTAGTCCTTGCCTAGTTTCCTTCTATGCATAGAATAGAATCATAGACTGGTTTAGGTTGGAAAGAACCTTAAAGATCATCTAGTTCCAACCCAGGACCCCTTCCCCCAGCCCAGGGGGCTCCCAGCCCCGTCCAACCTGGCCTTGAACCCTTCCAGGGAGGGGGCACCCACAGCTGCTCTGGGCACCCTGGGCCAGCGCCTCACCCCCCACATAGGGAACAATTTCTTCCTCATATCTAATCTAAATCTACTCTTAAAAGTGACCACTTGTCCTATCCCCACACCCCCTGATCCAGAGTCCCCCCCCACCTTCCCTGTCCCCCCTTTAAGCCCTGGGAGGCCGCTCGAAGGGCTCCCCGGAGCCTTCTCTTCTCCAGGCTGAACCCCCCCAACTCTCTCAGCCCGGCCTCCCAGGGGAGCTGCTCCAGCCCCCCCAGCATCTCCGTGGCCTCCTCTGGCCCCGCTCGAGCAGCTCCGTGTCCTTCTGCTGTTGGGGGCCCCCGAGCTGGGCCCAGCACTGCAGGGGGGGCTCACAAGAGCAGAGCAGAGGGGGAGAATCCCCTCCTTCAATCTACTGGCCACACTTTGCTTGACGTAGCCCGGGACACGGTTGGCTTTCTGGGCTGTGAGAGCACATTGCTGGCTCATAGTTTTCCATACACTAATACCCACAAGTCCTTCTCCACAGCGTTGCTCTCAATCTACTTTTCACCCAGCCCGTATTTGTGCTTGGGAGGTGAAGTTCTATGCTCTTTACATCTTGACTCTAGATTTTGTAACTATCGCTTTTGCCATAGATTGGACTTGTTTTTTCAACATGTCCATTTCTCCCGAATGCCTTGTTTATGAGATAACAGTTGACTGGGACCCAGAGACCTAGAAGATCCTGGCAAGCTTGACAGAAAAGAGCATATTACGGTAACAGGCCAGAGCTGGCTAGAAATAGCAGAACGATTCCTTGTTCCGGGTGATTTGGGATAGGATAGCATCAGAGATCCCGAGCCTTCTTTTAATTGAGCTCTCAGCAGGACACTGATGGAGTGTTGGCTGCTTGCTCTCCCTCTCTGTGGCTGTAGGTCGTTGCATGTGGTGTAATCATTTTTGGTAGGAGAGTCCTTGCTGTTGGGTGCTGTGGTGGTGTTCTTGCAATGATCAGTATCTCTAAGAGCAAACAGCTATTACTAGTCTTTCACCAAAGTTCAGCATGCTAAAGGGAACCCATCTTTCCCCTGGGGAGTTAAAAGTTCAGGCTTCACCCAAACATCAGTTAAGTCTCTATGAATTCAGCTCCTATTTAGAAGAAAACTTGGCGGGTTTTTTTTGTCATTTTTGTTTTACGTAGAAGAGTCTGAAGCTGTCACATGTTCGAAGTGTTTACGACAGTCCTAAAACAAAGTAGCCAGATGTCAGGGGAGAAACCTATATAGCCAATAAAAATTCAAATTTGATGGGATGTGATTTTAAACCCTTCATAAAATATATTAAGGTCCCATTGTGACAGCAAGCAAGTTTGCACTTTTTAGTGAATTTAACGGAAACACAGGAGTGTAGAGTCTAATTCTTTAGAAAGTTTTTTTTTAAATTACTCCAAAGCAGAGCTAACTGACAAATAGATTACAGATACTCATCTGTCCTGACAGACTCTTCACATTTAAAACACATAAAAGTGAGGTAGCATAAATAAAAAGAAGGATTTGGCATCCATATGTGTGTGTTGGGAATATAAATGTAGGATGGGTACAAAGCACCAATAATGTAATTTTAATAGGAATCATATATTGTAAAGAGGTAGGTGTTTCGCTTATTTTTCTGCTGCCTTCTTGAGGGTTACAGCTTATGTTTTTTGTGTGTGCTGGAATAACTCATCAAGGCTGATGGGAAAGGCCTAGAATGCAGAATTTATTGAAATCATGTGCTTATAAAGGCGACATATAAAATGGAAGGCAGAGTACATTTTAAATATCTCAGGAGGAAAAATTCAAATATGTTGAACTTGATAGAGTTAAGTGTATTCGTCTGAAGACCAATGTACATCAGATGAGACCTCTGAATTTTGTTTCTTATTTTAGGTTAAAAGGGAAACATTAGTAGAGTGGTCTGTTCTCCATTACTGAAAGCCAGAGGCTGGTTTTGGGACAGTGCTCATGAATTTTATGTGTGTTCACACTTTTGTCAGTCTAAGCATTGGAGTGTGTACATGCCAGTTTTATTACCTTGCCACAGAAGCCCTTTTCTGTCTCATCTTGGACCAACAACAGAAGACATGGTGCACTGAACAGAGTTGCCCTGGGTCCTTGATCTAACCCATGAGACACCATTTGGAGTGCTCCGCATTATTTATTACTACTCAAGTATTTTCAATTAACCTGATACCTTAAATGCTAACTTTGCCTGGCATATAATGAAATTCGTGTTTCTTTTTCAAGGAAGCTGAGATGAAAGAATCCAGCCGTGAGAGGTCACAGGAGTTTGTACTGCCTGTCTTCACAATTACTAACAAGTAAGCACTATAGGATACCATAGGATGGAGACGGACTTGGTTTCTGTTAATGACAGCTGTCACACAGGAGAGGAGCACTCGGGTGGTTCCAGACGCCTCAGAAGGGCTGTGCTGCAAAGCCAGCCTGCAGCTGGAGGTGGAGGAAGATTACTCACCACCTTCTAGTCCTGGCTGCATCCTGCTAGACCTCCAGTCTGACAAGAAACCCCTATAGAGTTGCACTGCAAAGAGGAGGAGACCTTTGAAACTTAACTACCAGAAGCCTGATTCAGCCAAGCCACCAACTTTGACCTGCAGCATGAAGGTGAACGTTGAGAATGCTTTTCCTCTGAACATTCTGAGGAACCTTGAGAGAGGATAAATGAGGATGATGAAAGCTTCATTCTTATTGATGCTTTTGAGGACGAGGAGGACCTGGAGCATCTGGAGGTGCTTTGGTCACTTCCTCTGTGATCCCTATGAGGAAGATCATTGTTTGTTGGCATTATGCCATTCCTTGTCAGCTGCAAGAGGAAATGCTGCCACTGTATCAGGTTGAAGTCTAAAGAGATGTGCAGTTGTTAGATATGGTAAGGACTAGCTGGATTCATCTGGGCATCTATCTCCTAAGACTGGCGTGTGAAATTAGAGCTGTTGTATGCACTTGGTCTCTAAATTACAGTGTTGCTGTCTAGGTTAACACCCCTCTCTGGGGCCCTTTTTGCCAAGGTGTCACTGTTAGGTTGCACGGATGCCGTGGTGTAAGCCCAGCCTGCAGCTCAGCACCGTGCAGCTGCTCACTCACACCCCCCACACACAGTGGGACAGGGAGGAGAAAAAAGTAAAACTTGTGGGTTGTGATAAGAACAGTTGAATAGCTAAAATAAAATATAATATATAATATAATAACAACAAATATAATAACAACAAAAATAACAACTGTAATGAAAAAGAATAAAAAGAAGAAATAAAACCGAAGAAAAGCCAAGTGATGCACAGTGCAGTTGCTTACCACCCACTGACAGATGCCCCAGCAGCGACCTGCCCCGCCAGCCAGCCCCCCCAGCCCTCTATGCTGAGCATGATGCCATACAGTGTGGGATGTCCCTGGGGGCAGCTGTCCCGGCTGTGACACACCCCCCCCCAGCTCCTTGTGCCCCCCCAGCCCACTCGCTGGTGGGGTGAGAGGCAGAAAAGGCCTTGGCTCCGCGTGAGCCCTGCTCGGCAGTAACTAAAACAGCCCCCTGTTATCAAGGCTGTTCTCACCCCAAATCCAAAATGTAGCACTGTGCCAGCTACTAGGAAGAAAATTAACTCTATCCCAGCCGAAACCAGGACAACAGCCAGAGAAACTCATCCATCTCTTCTCTCCATAAATCTTCTCATGTGTTAACGTATTAGTTGTAATAAACCATGATTTGGATTTTTAAAGAGCGGCCATTCATCATCTGCACCCCACACAAGCATGCTTGGCTGTGGAGATGCTGGTGCCATATGTGCTTATATATTACTAGAGGTTTTCCTTATGAGAACTGAGGAACGAGGGGAGGGCTGTGTGCTTGTCTTTCATAAGGGAGGGGGAAGTGGTACATGATTCCGTGCATCTTTGGTCTAGGTGGAAGAAAGCCTGTACCCTGCCTAGCTACTGCATCGCAGGAAGAAGTGTCTAACAATTTTAAATTCAGAAAAATCATAGTAGAAATAATTAAAATCTTCTGAGGTTTTTTTCCTAGTTTGTGAGAGTTGGAATGGTGGTTCTTTCTCTGCAAGGTTTGCCATACTAAGCAGCATATGGGTTTCTCATGGATTTAAGGACTGTCATTAAATGAATGTTGCTAACATTTTTTAACTGCCTAATCTGAAGAAACTGAACTGCAGCTACTCTGCTCTTGAAAGTAGCTCACTTTTCTGTGTGAAAAGAGTAGGTATATTTCTTTTCCTCGCCCTCAACAGCAGAGTAGTTTCTGGTTTTGTGTTTATTTCTAGAAAGATCTGAGACCACAAAAATGCCGAACTTGCAGCATTCTTATATACCGTATTTGCATGCTAGTAATGTACACTCTTGTTAATTTTTAATTCCAGTTCTGTATTTCCTGTTAACTGAAGAAGCCCTTTTCCAAAACCAGTAGTTTTGTTAAGAAAAGACAGCGAGATACCTGTCCAGTGTGCAACACAACCGCAGTGTGAAAAGCAGGAGCAACCTCTGCCAGTTTACACGGTGATGCTGGAGAGCGGTTCCGATTGCAGGAGGCGCAGGACTGGTCAGTGCGATGACAGGGGGGGGACAAATGCAGAGCACGGAGGGGTCAGGGCCCCCTGGTCGTAGCTGAACAGAAGCTGCTGGGAGATTCCCAGCGGTGTTCCTGGGGGATTGGACCTTGGATGACCTCCTGTTGAACAGTTCCGTTAACGTAAAAATGGATGTGTGGGAATGAAATGTGCCGCCTGGGAGGTTGAACAGGAGGGAGGGCTGCAGAGCCACGGAAGCATGAGAAGCCTTCCAGAAATGGTGAATATTTCTGCTCCGGATTGGTGGGTTATCAGCGATAAGGGATGGAGGAAAGGATCCTGAGAAGGCCTACGGACTGTGATTGTAACTGTGGCTTTGGAAAAAGCAAATGGGGTCCTAGGACGTGTTGGGCAAAGGACTTCCACTAGGAATAAGGAAATAGTGCCGCTGTCAGAGGCCCTGGTGAGACTTTGCTGAAGATGCCGAGCGTGGTTCTGGGCGCTCGGGGTGAAGAAATGCTCAGGTTGGAAGGGAAGGGCAGGGGTCGGGGGTGCTCCTCACAGGGGCAGAGCCTGGGTCTTCCCCCAGAGGAAAGCTTGGGAGCGAATCCCACCACCGCCAAACTACACACGCAGAGGCAGCACCGCACCTCCCGGTGTGCTGCTGCAGGGTGGAGGTGGGGAGCAGCCTCCAGCCGCCCCCCCCCCGGGAGCACGGATGGGGGGGGGGGGGGGGGGGGGATGTCGAGAGAGCCTTTCAGCCGTGGGAAGGGCACCCACCCCCCCCCCCCCGCTCGCTTGGAACCAACGCTTGACCCACCTGGATGTTTCTCCGCACCGGCGAGTTTGGAACGGGCACCGGAGCCGGCTCGGCTCGGCGTTACCGGGGGGGAGGGTGAGGGGGGGCTGCCCCCCCGGTCCCGCCCCGCCGCTGGCAGCCGCCGGCCCTGCGATTGCGCCGCCGCCGCCCGCGGGGCCTCCGCGCCGGCGCAAGGGGCTGCGCGGCGGCGCAAGGGGCTGCGCGGCGGCGCAAGGGGCTGCGCGGCGGCGCAAGGGGCCGCGGCGGGGGAGCCCCGCAGGTAGGGAGCGGGCGGCGGGGGCCGGCGGCTGCCGAGCGGGCTGCACCCCGGCGCCGCGGGGAAAAGTTTTTTGGGGGGGGGGGGGTGGGGTGGGGGTGGGGGGGGTGTTCATTCTGCCCGGCAAAAAAAAAAACAAAACAAAACAAACAAACAAACAAAAAAACCCGGACCAACCAACCGAAATAAAACCAAAACAACAACAACAACAAAAAACAGAAAACAAAAAACAAAACAAACAAAAAATAACAACAAAAAAAAAACAAAACAGCCCAAAACCTCCAAACCCCAACCTTTTATTTAAAAAAAAAAAAAAAAAAAAAAAAGGTTTTCTTATCATTTTTAAGCTTACGTCGTGATTTAAATATTCCCTCCCACTGTTGAAACTGGACTGGCCTTTATCAGGACATTTTCTTAAGCCAAGCAGTGCCAGCCTCCCTTGAAAAGTTGTGTGGGGGTTTTTTGGTGTTTTGTTTTTTTTTTTTTTCTTCAACAAAGGCAGCAGCACATCAGCCGCACGGCTGGGGAGCCGGCGGTGCGGTGCTGGAGGTGCTCAGCCCTTGCAGGAGGCGCAGAGTGGTTCCCATACTCCTGCACTCCTTATTTTTACATTCATGGGATCGGTTGAAGTTGGGGGGTGGGGTGACTTGAGCCATCCTGTTCCAGGCAGCGACTAATGAAGACGACTAATTCAGCTTGTTTTCCATATCACAGCAGAAGAAAGAGCAGCTTGTGTCTCAAATGAAGCTGGCCTTTCTGGGATGTGACTAAGACCTTTCCCTCCATGCACGTTGCTACAGGCCTTTATGGCTGTTTAAACCTACTGAAACTAAATAGACAAGCTTTATGTATGCATGGAAATACAGAAATATGTACATTTTAACATATATGTGGTTTTCTATATATATATATATATGTGCCTGTATTCAGAGAAGTCTTAGACAATAGCAGTGAAGAGGAAGTGTAGAAACAGTGGGAGTAGAGGGAAAATGAAAAGTGGGTGTGAAGGAGAAAGTAGGGGTCAGAGGAGCAGCCAAGGTATCCATCGGGGGGGAAAAACGCAACTTTTGAGCTTGGACTAGCAATTCAGTGTGAACACAGGTTTAAACCAGGTGAGTGAAAGCTCCCTGTGGAGCTGCTGGCACAAATCTAGAAAACCTCTTCCGAATCCACCCTTTGGTAGAGCATAAATGAAAACAGCTTCTTCACAAGAAAGTCTTTGACTCAGCAGGTATTTCTGACCTGTTGCCATTGCTCGTATTTTCCGCTAGCAAGGCTGGTCTGCAAAGGGAGTTTACCCGGAGAATTTGAAGCTGTTCCAGTGGGCCAGCTCTGGAGGATTACTACCTGTGCTTTGAAGCCTGGGAGGATGCTTAGTAAGCTTTCTGGAGAGCTCTTTCATGCATTTCCTTGCATATGTCTAGTTTGCACGGTGCTAGCTGGTAGTGGCACAGGGACCTCAGATATCCTCGTGACAGTTACCGATAATGCTGGTCAGGATGGGAGGCCAAAGGCACTCCCGAGCTCTCTGGACCCCCCTTCCACACACTGCTTCTGGTTTTGGCTGTTTGACTGACATCGTATCTGGGTCTCGTTGTGTTAACTAACTAGTTTCTGAAAGAAAACACCTTGTGACTGGTGCTCCTAGTTTGTATTTAGCAAGGTAAAAACAAGGATTAAGCATGAATCCTTGGAAAAAGACCTGTGGCGGGGGGCAGCTATGGCGTAGGACTTAGTCAAAAGTGTTTGCAGAGTTCTGAAAATTTCTCATCTCTAGGTGAATTTAAAATGGAAATTATCAATTTATATTTGTAGTGAAGGCTGGATTATAATAGGGGATTTAACTTTGTTGAACATAGTCTGTATTTTGTATGCTGAATGTATATTTTCTACATACATAATACTAGATGATTCTGTTTCTCCTTCTGCATAAATAATAGTCTGTCCCGTTCTTTCAATCAGAAAAAAATGTTCACTGTGTTAACTTTATTTTAGGTTAATATTAGAAAACTCACTGATTAAATTGGCGTTTTATTTTCTAGGGAGGGCTGTAAGGAGAGCTGAGAATGAGATGGACTTAACCATGAAAGACCTGAAGCTCTTGGTACACGCCTGGTCGGTGAGCTGCGGATGAACACAGCGTACGCCTCAGAGGATGGACGTGCACGTGGACCGGGACTCTGAGAATAACATTTGTGACACAGGTGAGAAGCATTCAGGTTATTCCAGAAAGACCACTAAGCAGGTGGGCCACACGTCTGGCCTCCAGAAGGAGGTAGACATGAATTACTCGCAGACGCACAGTCCTCTTTGCAGTTCTGCTGGCCCTTCAGGTAAGCAGGAGCTTCTTGCGGAGTTGCAGTGTGAAGACAAAGAAACCTTTGAGACCTACTACCAGAAACGAGGCGAGGGTACAGCTGGGGTGGTTGTCCCCTCCATTACCAACTTTGGCCTGCGGTGTGAAGATAAAGATTTAGAGCACTGTTCCTCTGAGCAGTCCAAGAGACCGCGGAGAAGACTGCGTGACGATAACGAAAACACCATTCTTGCTGAGGTGTTTGATGAGGACCTGGGGCCTGCCTCTGAGGAAGCTTCGCTGTACCGATGCAAGAAGTGCGGTTCCTCTTTCCAGGGTGTGAGCGAGCTGCAGGAACACAGGCGAACTCACCTTGTGGAAAACTCGTACCGATGTCCCGTCTGCGCCAAAGAGTTCTTCCGTGCGGCAAACTTGCGAATGCACAAGCTCATTCATTCTAGCGACAGGCCGCACAAGTGCCCGGAGTGTGACAAGGGTTTCATTCGCACGGCCGACGTCTGGAGGCACCTACGCAACGTGCACAAGATAGAGCGCTCCATGGTCATCTTGGGAAACGGCATGGCTAGGAACCCGTGGTCGATAGTGCACCGTAACCAGCACGCCGTGGAGTACACGGGTCAGCCTTGCGCGGAAAACCAAAAGCCCGAGGAAGGCGACTGTAAACCTTACGCCTGCCCGACGTGTGGCAAAGGTTTCGATAAGCCTAACCTGCTTTCCAAACACAAGGTGATCCACCGACAAGACAAGCCCTATAAGTGTCAGGAGTGTGGCATGGCGTTCGTCCAGCTGCTCAGGCTGAAAAGACACCAGCAGACTCACTCTGGGGAGCGTCCCTTCTACTGCGAGGAGTGTGGGGGGACGTTCACCCGGCTGGCATCGCTCCAGCGCCATCACCGCATCCATACTGGAGAGAAGCCCTACTCTTGCAGTTACTGTGGTCATGCCTTCACCGAGTCAGGTACCTTACGGAGGCATGAGCGCACGCACAAATCGGACAAATCTTAAGTCTTGCTTCTTTTGGGATTGCGGTCTCCTGGGTTGCTTCCTACCTGAACGAGGCTTGCTCCGTTGGGCTGGAGAAAGCACCCCACCGCATGCGCTCTGGCCGGTCCAGGCCTGCTTCCCAGCAGTGGCTGACGGAGAACACGGCAGCATGGGGGTCTCTGGAACTTGTACTGGCAGAGATTGCACTCGCTGGCTTTAGACTGGCTTTGTATGGAAAAAAATAACATAATTACCACTGGGTGTTGGAATGTGAGACTTGGAGAAGACTGAACTCACACACGCTAGCACTGTCTCAATTTGCTGAACTGATGATGCATCAGCTTAAGCTTTTTGCAGGGATGCATGGGCTATAAGACTTTTCTCTGCAGTCTTGGTCACTGGATAAATTGGTCCTGCCCGCTTGGGTGTGATGGCTCTTTGGCACTGGGTTTGGAGATCTGTTGTTGCAGATCTTTGCTGTGGCAGAACAGTCCAGAGTTGTCCCTCTATCCCTTCTCTCCTTGCATTCCGCTGAGTTTTTCTTTCCGTTACTTTTTTTTTTTTTTTATTTGGAGGGGAAGTATCATGTTGGTTATTTAAAAAACACAACAAAACAAACAACCACAAAACAGTTCCTTAATAAACTCAAGAGTTACCAGCTCTATTTCGTAAATGTTTGTATCTAAGAGAGCACTGATCCCTTATGCACTTTCGTGGGATTAGTTGAATGTCTGTTGATAATGGAAAAAGCTTTATTTTTGCTATGACAGTGCATGTTCTTGGGGTGAAGGGATTTGAATACTTTTGTGTCTCTGATAAAATCGTGGACTCTAAAGCTGTCCAGCTGTGTATTACAGTAGGAAATGTTTGAGAACACAAAATTCAAAGAGCAGAAGACCGAATTTAAGCCACCTTTGCTACTCATTGCATAGGAATCTTCTTCGTTTAAACGTTTTCACATATAAGGAAGCTTCTCATAACAAAACCGTGTTTTGTGTTTTGTGACACATCTGAGTACTGCCCAAAGTGTTTGCTAAACCCTTCACTTTGATTTAGATTCAGATGGTTAGTGAAGAAAAATTTGCTTAGAAACTAGCCGAGCAGACTCAGGGAGGTGCTACCAAATACCTGGGAGGAAGGCTGTCACTTACAAAGAGGTAAGTATTGCCTCAGTTATGGCAGGGGTTTTTTAACTTCGAAACTTAATAATAACACTTAATCTACTGTTAACCGCTGTGGTAGAATCATGCAGTTTGTCCTTCAGCCCCAACCTTAATTTCCTTTCCATGTCAGAAAGCTTTGCTTCCTTTCTGCTGCCCGCTGCCGTAATTTCACTAACTTCTTTCTAATGCATTCTGCCTTTTCAGCAGGAAGTTGTGCAGCAGAGTGAAAGTAAAGCTTCGGGGTAATGTACCTTTGCATCTACTACCAGGCTATTTAGTGTAAAGTACCGATCGTGTCATTTGTTTGCATATTTCATAGAGTAAAAAGTGTTGATGGCTGCTCAGCACCTTCCACCCGTGTGGCAGCTGAGCAGGTGCTGTGGGCACTGCCGTGTTTGATGCAAGGTCCTTGGCTCAGATCAAGTTGGACCCCTGTCCCCAGCAGCACTTTAGCTTGATTATGAATGGGACATTAATTCTCCCGGCCTCACTAATGGGTCATTTCAATTAATTCCTCCGCAGATCAGGGAACTGATCTGCATCCCACTTCTGAGGGATGTGTTATGTTGTCTCTGAAATGATGTGCTTTTGTAATGCAGATACGTGCCTCTGCTGGGATGACTGGACTCTGCGTACCGTGTGCATTCGCTACCGCTCTGAGTGAGACTTCTCCAAACTCCCCTCTGCAGGTAGATCCAGTATGGTTTTAGGTTTCCAAAGGGCTTTTGGCGGGGCCCCTTAGCAAAGGGCCTGTCTTATCTGAGGGCTGCTTAGCCTCTCTAAGAGGGGAGACCTTTCCATGAAAAAAATCCTGGTTGAAAGGAGGCTGTGGGTAAATGATTTGCAGAGAGAGGTCGTCGGTGCTGTTCTGTGGGGTCCGTGCCATTCAACACAATCTGAAATGACCCGGAGAGAGGGCAGATAGCAAGGTGACAAAGCTGTTCCAGAAGCTGTTGTACATTAAGTTTCCACCCTCATGTTCTACACCATTTTGAAGTTGTCAGCTACAGTTTCCCCTTTTCAGCATCCTGCTTCTCCCTTGGATATGTGGTGCTCTTGCTGTAGGGGGTTTTAATATCCAATTAAACCGCACCACTATGTGCGCCTTTATGTTGTGTGACTGTTCTGCTTAGGCAATTGCAGTAATTGGGAACATCTAGTTATTCTGCTTTTTTGGTGTTAGCAGTTGGTGGAATTTATACCTGTAAGAGCATAATGGTGAAAGTGTTTTGAACAAAAGGTCTGTTTAATGGGAAGAGTAAATGGTTGGTGAAATGAAAAGTACTAGGCTTAACTAAAAGGTTATTAAAAAGATACTTGCCTGGAAGGTTGACTTGCATATAAAGTGCTTGGATGTGTGAAAGGAGCAATTAAAATGTGTGATGCTTTCTGGGAAGAGTGTGTTGAACCCTCTTCAAAGAAACTTCCGCTAAGTCCTGTTCAAGCTACAGGAAATCCCTGGGAGCTTAATTTAACCCAGAGATTGTCACTTCTGCACTTTACATTTTTAATATAGAGGTTTAGAAATCTCTCCCAGGCCCTGGCACTCTCACAGTGTCAGAGTTGCTGATAGCCTACAACAGACACAGCCCGCCATGATACCTGGCTGAAACAAAAGGAGAGAGAGTGAGGAAATAAATATACCTGCTCTACAGCATTGCTTCATTAGAGGGGTTTTGAAGTGTGTGGTTTTCAGCAGAAGTCATTTTCCTTTGTTCAGAGTAGCTGGTGTGTGTGTTAGCTTGTTGGAGTGTGTAAAGGCCGTGGCAGAAGTGACTCCCCGGGGCGGTGTGCTGTGCAGAGGGCTCGCTCACGGGCCCTCATTGCCCCGGCGTTACGGGAAGCGCTTGGACACAAGCACAGGGCTGGAGCTCTGCCTTAGGCAGGGCATCCTGGTTGTGCAAGTACTTTTGATCGCTGGATGGTGTTTGTGAACAGTGGAATGTAGAAACACCCTTTGCTCTTTGCTAGTTTTCCTGTCCCCTCAGTACATCGCTTCTGCCCAACTCATTTCCATCTCAGGAAGATTGTCTCAAGACTAAGAAGTTAGAGCAGCTCCAGCACTGCAGGCTCCTGGCCCTCACTGACCTGGAATCACCGGCCAGTCCTTGGCAGCTGTGGTGCTGTTTCCTTACTTTGTTAACAAAGGTGTTGCATGGTGAATATGCCCACGCTCATGGAGTGTAGATAGAGCACCTTGCACAAAGGAAAAGCTACTACTGCGCAGTCTTTCTGCTCCTCTGCGTACACTGTCTCTTCTTAGACACTACTTGCCTTCTCCTGGCATAGAGGAGTCTGAAGCAGGAGTCTTTGATGTAAACAGGGAGCACTAAGCAATCCATCGTTTGCCAGTCAATCTGAGCAAAGGGCACTGAAGTCTCTGGAGGAGGCAGCTTTTATTTAAAGTGAGGCTTCATCATGTGACGATCTGCCTCTCATCTTGTGAAGTTTCTGTTGGCATTAGGAGCCCCCACTGTGGTTCTGCTGCTTACAAACTGAAAACGAGCAGGGGCTGAGATCTCACCAACAGAACGGCAGATGAATAGCATTTTGCTAGGATAACATACTGGAAATAGAAAATAATGTTTTTATTTGGGTGATCCCAGCTGTGTCGGATGCGTTGAGAAGTTAAAAAATTGTGGGCCTGTGCATCACTAGAGTCAGCTTAGAAGAGCAACCACTGAATGGGAGCTAGCCCGTGAAGCAGGTAATACAGGTGTGTGCACCAGAGTGCAGCCCAGCTGTAAATTCATTGTAGGATGGCTGTGCTGCTGAACTGCTACATGGGAGTGTTGTTTTCCAGAGGAGGGTGTTCCCAAACAAATGTGCTCGTGCAGTTCATGCAATGGCTTTCCTCTTGTTTATCTGCTGGAAGAAAACATCAGAGCTATCAGCTCCTTTTCTTATTAAGGGTTTGATCTTTATTGTTGCTTACATGCTTCAAATCTGAAAGAAGGCATGGCAGTTTGTTCTGAGGAGGCCTGTTTCTGTACAAGCTACCAGCACACATCGTGCTGGCTGCAAGGGACTCGTCAGGAATAGGTCCCTGGGCTCAGAGCCATGCTCAGTACCAGGAAGGTAGCCTAGCCACCAGCTCGCCATTTAACAGCTCTTCCCGATAACTGCCTGGCATGTCTTAAAAAGAGATATCTCCCTCGACTCAAGGATGTTCTTTGTTGAGTGGGGTAGGTTTTACCCCCAAAGAGTCAGCGTGTTTTGCTGGCCTGCTTGCTCAGCCTCTGTTCTCCTGCTTGAAAGAGGCTGTGCTAATTTTCTTCTTCCTCGATACCTTGACCATTGCTGCTGCTCCTGAAAACACTGCTGGTGTCGTTGGCAGGAATGGGTTAGTGACTTCAATGGGTTCTTTTGGATTGCCTGGTGGATTGACAGCAATTTAGAAAGAGGAGTTACTAAAACCTGAGGTGTCAGCAGTTGTTAAAGGACTTGGTCTGGAGACTTTTGCTTGGTAAGTGGTGTGAGTGATGGATGACTTGTTTTCATTGATTGGGAAAGGGGACTGGGAGAAAGTACGATACAGCATTCAGTCTCTCAGACCCCAAGATTAAAGTGTGATTGAACTGACATTCCTTGTGGGACCTCTTAGGAAGACTGCTAGTATATATTTCTTAGTACTTGCATTTAAGAAACTCTCGGGCTGGTTGTTAGCTAGGTTTTATATTTATACCTTACTTGTTTCAAAAGGTGAACTCACTTGCAGAAGTCGGTCTGCTGACTATGCAGAACGGTTTGCCCCAGGAGCCTGAAAAAGAAGGCAGCATTGACTTTTGCATTGAGAAGAGTCCATAGTCTGTAACGTGGTTCAGTGCAACCCCACAGAAGTATTTCTGCTGGCACAGTGTTACATCCTCTGGGTGAAAGCTGACCTTGCCAGAAAGCATGGCTGTGCTGGAGCACTGCAGGAAAATCTGGGCACTTACACCGCATCGCCTCGGCTGCTGGCACCAAATCCGGTGGACTGGGGGGTGTTTTTTACCTGGTGCAGTGTGCGTTGGGAGATGCTTCCTTCCCAGAGAGCTGGGAGGTTGGGGGCTGCGTTTCCTGAGTACAGAGAGAGGTGGCGAGGTGGTTCCATCTTCACCTGAACGCCAGGTCCGGGTTACCGCCCAGCAGCGTGCGAGCACAGCAGAAGTGCAGTACGTGGGGAAGGCTGAGGCCCAGGTTTGTGACTGTGGTCCTACAGGTGGGATCCCTGCAGAGCCAAGGCTGCCTGCATGCTCACTGCGAGGCCTCCTGCTAGCCTTTGCTTCTCACGTACCACAGCTCAGCCCTGGGGATACCTGCAGGCTCGGGCTGAGGTACGGGAGCTCACCTGTGAGTAGCTGCCAGACCTCACGGCCCGCTTCACTTCTGAACACGTGTAGATGCACAGTCTTTGCATACAGTAGTAGACACTGAAATAACACTGTGCGTCTGTACAGATACCTGGATTGACTCAAGACCACAGCAGCACATGAGCTAAAAGCGCAAGAGATTTTCT